CCCCCCCCCCCCCCCCCTTTTTCAGCTTTTCACATGGAAAAATTATGCTCTGGGAAAAGGAGATAGGGTGAGAAAAAATTAATCCCAGGGTAACAACAAATGTAGACACTGCAAATACTGTGCTATTAAAAAAGGTTATAAATCTGCCCCCAGATGCTTGTCATCACCGTGTTGCTTGGGGGTTATAGCCCCCTCAGATCTGTCAGTAGATCTCCTTGCAAGACAAGAGCCTCTAGCTCTCCTCCTCTACCCTTTTTAGCCAAAATGAGACAAGTCAGATTAAACTGTCCACATAACCATTTCCAAAGGCTGGCTTATCTGGCTAGAAATGGGTTAAGGACAGTTCAAGAGAACAGCTACAAGTCCCAGGGATTAACCTGAATGGCCAGCAAACTGGCAAGAAGCAGAGGACAGGTCAGGGCAGAGACTTCTCCTCTTTGCAAGGCTGGATTCAGGAAAGGACTTCTGTCCACGATATACTCCTGCTCCATAAGCCTCTTTGCTAACATCTAAAATCCATGGTGAAAATAACTTTCTTGATTATTCTCAATCAGGTTTAATCCAAAATGAGAAGATAAAAACCCTCACTCTTATTTTGAAATAAGTACTCTGGTGGGACACATAACGATGCTGGTGTAATTACAGTGGTCCCACCAGTGGAAATGCTCCTGCACATCAGCCTTCAGACCTCACGAACACAGACAAACAGCAACTGGACTCCTCTCCAGTGTTAACTAGGCAACTTATTCCAGCAGGATATGAACAACTCATTAACTTTTAATACATTCATCAGACTTTTCCAGCCTCTCCCTTTTCCCCTATCACAACGGATGCTTCCCAAAAATCACTCCATCTGCTTCAGAAAGCCCCAGCCAAGAACACAAGCAACTTTACCTCTGTAGCACCCCTGTTAGTACTAGAGAACGGTCGCCTCATTGAGGCTCTGACCCAGGAAGAAAGAGATAAAAAGGGCTGTGTGAAACTGGTGGCTGGCTTCCATCCGAGGAGTACAGTTCACCGTCTATTGCTCTTGTGACTATTACTGAACCAGGCCAAAAAAAGCTTCCAAGTTTTGGCACGTCTCAGATTTTCCAGTCTGCACAAAGTCATGCCAGGAACATTTACCGAAGCAATTTCTTTCTTTCTTTCTTTAAGGACTCTAATTATGCACCTAACAATATTGTAGAAATTAGTCTTGTACAAAACCCCCACTGCATTTCAGATATAGTTTTGCCGACAAAAGGATTAGAAGCTTAAGGATCGGTGTTAATATTCCGAACATACTGAAAGGCACAAAGTGCACACTGCAGCAGAAACAGGAGAAATAAGAGAGGTTATCACTTCCAAAATCTGGAAGAGGGAAAACCACACCGGAAAATGCCATACTAATCTGACTAAATGCCAATGAAGCAGGAGAAAGGTAGTAAAAAACATTTAGAATGAGGTAACCATCAAAGCTGTCTCTGAATTGCAAGCAGCTCACCTTCAAGCACAGCCCACTCCCTCGAAAACAAGGTCTAGATATCCTAGAGGGTGGGGTACTACCCTTGAGTGAACTGATGTTCACCACTTGGCAGCTACCTGCAATAAATGAATCAAATTGAACCCCAAAACAAAGGTTGTCTGAAGTGTCAGTTTTCCCTGAAACCAGACCCAAACCTCAGTCATCACTCTTGAGTTCTGCTGAACTTTGACTGGAACTGAACCAAAGTGTTCACTGGTTTGACACCTAGACCACTACCCCTGAAAACAAAGAATTCATTTATCCACTCAAGCACGAACTGGCCTTTAAAACCAAGTTTTGATCACGATGGCTGTACATTTTTTCTTTCAGTTTGCAGATGGGGACACTGAGGCACGGAGACATGACAGTACTTACACTTGGGAAGTCATCCAGGTACTCCAAATTAGAGTGCATTAGGCAAAAAACAGGATTTAGCACTTTGACCGCATCAACATAACGTTAGCGCCACCAGTGAAATCAGAAATCAAGGGCCAAACACATCTTGGCTATGTTTCTCCTGGTTACTGACTCCAGGCTTTACTCACCCCTCTGCCATCACTATTTAGCTGTTATTATCTTTCATCTTATGGACATACTGCTGTGCACTTCCTTCCTACAGAAATTTCGCTCCACATCGACCAGAACTGGTTCAGGTTTATTTAGGGTTCCTAAGAACATGAATAAAACCGTTCTGGCTTTTTCAGGACAGCGCTGGAGAGGACGCGTGGAAACGCTGACTACATAACTATGTCACGCCTCGGGAAGAAAACGTATTTTATCGTGGACGGGAAGCGCTGCCTCGCGCCACAGCTCAGTCCTGCTCCCCTGGGTTTTCACGACAGCCACTATCGTGACCAGAGCTGTCGGTTGTGGCAGCGTGGGCTCACGGCCACCCTGTCTCACCTCCGCTCCTCGCTGCCCCAGCACTCGCATTATTCGGGCTGGCAGTTGCGGGGAGTTCACCAAAGAGCTTTGCTTGCCAGGGGACAGACCCACAGCGACAGGCTTCACCCTAACACCACCCCACCCTCCCCCCTTTTTTCCTTTGCCATCGCTCCTGCCGCGTGGTCCAAGGGGTGGGAGGCAGAAAGAGAGGGAACCCTTTGTAGGAAATCTGATGGGAAATCTGGTATGTTTATACATTTTTTTTTTTCTTTTCTCCTTTTTTTGTGAGTGTGCAGAGCCAAACTGCGATGCTCTAGGGTGGGGCTCGCCATCTGGGAGAAATATGTAGGGAGAAAAAATGCAGGCGGGGAGGAACGAGTCATGTCCCCCC